CATTCCTCAGAGATTTTGGTCAATATTGAGAGGACATGCAGTTTGTTTGTTGGTTGCACATCCACAATGTCACTCTATTGGATTGAGGTCTGCTGACTGTGGAGGCCAACTGAGTACAGTGATCTCATTGTCATGTTCAAGAAACTAGTTTGAGATGATCTGAGCTTTGTGGCATGCTTTCATGTTGTTTACATCAGCAGTCCCCAACCCCCAGGCCACGGACCGGTACCGGTCCTTGAGTCGTTTGGTATCGGGCCGCGAGAGTTGAGGGCGCCTCGGGTGTAAAATGTTATGATTTTTCAGGGTTTTTATCATTGACTCAGTTTCCCTGGGTCTTTTCTCGTGTTGTAGTTGTACGGCTCATTTTTTAAAAAATAGTTACACGTTACTATAGCGGCCAGAATGCATTAAGGGGCAGATGTTGTTGGCGGTTTTCAGGAGGACGCTGCTAATAAAGTTAAACATTTACACAGGGAATTCGCGTTTCTTATTATATTTGCAAAATACCACAGTTTTTGTCTTGCTCGTATCATTTTATTTTTTTGTATTTATTTGGACGGTCTGTGAAAATATTGTCTGACATTAAACCGGTCCGTGGTGCAAAAAAGGTTGGGGACTGCTGATTTAGATCACGTTCTGACTCCACCATCAAAACGTTGCAGTAAAAAATCGAGACCCATCAGACCAGGCAACTTTGTTCCAGTTCTCTATTGTGCAATTTTGGTGTCCCAGTGCGAATTGTACCCTCAGTTTTCCGTTCTTAGCTGTGGCGTTTGGTGCGGTCTTCTGCTGCTCTGACCCATCTGCTTCAAAGTTTGACGTGTTGTGCACTCAGAAATGCTCTTCTGCATAGCTCGGTTGTAATAAGTAGTAATTAGAGTTACTGTTGCTATTGTTCTCCGACCTCTGATTTCAACAAGACGTTTTCTCCAGAGATCTGCTACTACCTAGGTATCTTCCCTTTTTCAGATAATTCCTCAGAGATGGTTCTGCGGGGAATCCCAGTAGATCTGCAATTTTTAAAATACTCAGCCAATCACGCCAGATTCAAAGTCACTTAAATCACCTTTCTTCCCCATTCTGCTGCTTGGTTTAAACTTCAGCAAGTCGTCTTGACCACGTCTATATGCCTAAATACAATGAGGTGCTGCCATGTGATTGGCTAGATATTTGCATTAGATATTTGCAATGAGGGGCAGTTGATAAAGTGCCTGCTGAGTGTATATCAATAGCTGTCTGCTTGTGTTTGGTCTTCCAAACACTATACAGGGAGTGAATAAGTGTAAAAGCCAAATACAGCTTTAGCACTTCACCCTCCTGCCCCCACATATCTGGTTCCAAAAATTAAAAAAGCTAAAATCGAACCATAAAAACAGGAGTTCACTAACCATTGGGTGACATTACAGCGGCTATATTCATACTTTCATACAAGCTCCTGGTTTTAAATGACATAATAAAAAAAGAGAAATACAGCCTCAACAAGTCTTCACCGCTGATCCACTTAACTACCTGTGAGACATAAGGGAGACACTAGGAGGTCATGGAAGCTCACTGTAACCTTTAAAACCACCACGTTGATTTCTTTTGAGAGCACACGATGTGACAGCAAACTGAAATGCCGTTGGAGAGAACAGAGCCGCGGCTACCTCGACGACCGCTACTTGTACACGCGGATATAAATACAACAATGCCCACTCACAGAGGAGGGCTTTGACTCGTGGCCTTTTGTTCTGCAACACTACAATTCTTCAGAATAAATAGGAGACACGGGCTGAGCGCAACGCAACAGACACACACAGAAGGTAACCGCTGCTGCTGATAACTACAGGGAGGAGGTGAGTGTGAGCGCTTCTCACAGGGAGATAAGCCCGATCAATAAAAACACAAGCAAGCGATAAGGCTGAGATGAGGTAAACAGGTTGCATTTGACTCACGGGAAAATGTTGCATTCTATAAACGAGTGTGTAGTCCCAGGATGAGGCGATGCCAGAGTGAGCGGCGGAGCTATTCACGTCATCCTTCTGAGTTGGTGACATTTAAAGACAAAAGGGTCTGTCCGGCCTCCTACACTCTCAGACCTTTCCCCTCTGAAGGTCAAAGGGTTTGGTCTGTCTCATGAGGATGAGGTAATTGTTAAGCAGTCAGTTGGGAGGTCAACTAACCACGCAGTCAGTTATATACCACCAAATAATGGGCAAAGTACACTTTTGCAGGGATTAAATGTCAAAAAGTGAGTCTGGCAGTTAAACTGATTTTGATTGACAGAAATGAGTGTGGGCCACCAAGCCAACTCTCGATGATGCCAAATCCACCCATGCTCACTCACACTTACACTTAAAACTGTTATACATCATGAATCTGTGATGTTCTGTACTTTGCAGTACTTATGTGAAAGTGTGAAAGTTGGGGACTTTCAGAATATCTCTGGCAGATAGCGCTGGACAACTTTAGGATTAAACCTGCATAGCAGCCATGTTACCTCATAGATAAACAATCGGAATCAGTGTTAGCCAACTGACACAACCACTGCTCTGCAGGTTTAATTTGCGAAGTTGTGACTTTGCAGCATTTAAGTTTCAAAATCTGTTAAGAGGAAGTGGCAGGAACGGTAAAATACTCCCAAAGATTCATCTCCAGCTATAAGGAAACACCTGCCACTCGGGGCCAATGATTAACTTGGGTGTGTTCTCTGTATGGGCACTTGTAACCTGTGAGTGAGAACAGGGGCCATGCTAATGCAGCAAGCATTGTGGTTCACATGGTTAATACGCTGGTTAGAAATTATACAGAACTTGCTGCCAATTACTTACACAGTTCCTGATAGAAACTACTCTTGACTGTGGTGGGTTCGAAAGCTAAACAGCATTAAATCAAACCGTGGCAGAATAAAGGCTGGCAGCCCTGCACGCTTGGCCAGGTCCTGCAGTGATTTTCTTAACCTGGCCTGGCTTTAATTGCAGTGACAGACGGCCTTGAGTGCAGATCAGGCCAAGCCACGGGGAGAGGGATGAGCGAAGGGGAGGAGTGTTGAGTGTAAGAACATGACACTTTCACCTTAGAGCAATCAGACATGGAGTTTTGGGGATGACCGCACACAAAACGCACAAGGAGAATAGGGTACGGGATAAGCTTGGGATCAGGAGAAGTAGAACAGAGGTTGGAGGAAAGGGGAAATCTGTGGAACGCTGAGGCGGAGCAAAACCAGTGAGTGGAAGGAGAGCTGATTAGTGTTTGATTAGGTGGCTAGCCTGAGGGGAAATATCACATGAGGAGGACTGTGCCATTACTGCTGTGCTCTCCCCATTCCACCATCTGCTTGAGTGTAGTACACATGATTGGCTTTCTGTGCACTTTTGTGCCACAAAATAATATCAAGATAAACAGCATATTGCATCGTATGGAGCACATTTGGGGGGGAGGACATTCAGTTGCACCTTTGGTGCCTTCATTAAAACAAGCAAAGTATGAGAGTGCAGAGCTGGGAGAGCCCACTAAACATCAGTCTGATTGATGGACCACAATCTGGATCCTCTAATCTTTACTACGCTCACCAAATAGTCAGCAGAATATGTGTTTCATCAGCTGCTTGTGGTTTAGGGAGACAGACACAGAGGCACACTCACAAACGCACACTCACCGGGGGGGAGCATCAGTCCCCCAGAGCTCAAACAGCTGAACGAGGAGCTCTCATCAGCTGTTTGGCTGATTCTGCTGAGAGAAGAGCACCAAAGACTGACTGTGTCAAAATAAATAAATAAAAAGCCCTAAAAAAAATCCAACAATCTCCCGCATAGAGCTTAGATTTAATATTCTAGAGTGTACAATGTGCCTATAAATAGTGTCACAGCCTTTTTTTTCTTTAATAGATCGAGGGCACCTGATCATTTGGGATTATTTGAGCTTAAATCAATATACAGTGTGACAGCCAAGGTATTAGTTTTACACTGATACAAAAGAGAGATCGTTATATTTGCTCTGCAGATTCTTCAAATAGTTATCAAATTATTACTTCTCTTTACTGATTGGCGTAACAAGTTTCTGCACACACACAAAAAACAAACTACATGAAAGCAAGCTGGTGTCACAGACACAGAGGTTAAAGCTCTGATTGCAGAATTTTATCTCCTGGGTGATCACATGGAGGAATGTGTTTTTATGTGGCGACTTGAAGCCTAAACAGCACTTAAGCTGTCTGGGTGATTGCCATGCAGTGATGAGCGCAATCTCACAGCAGCAGAGACAGCAGCATCACCCCGCCATCACCTCCAATCCTAAATTACAGGAATGGTTAGCGCGCAGTCTCCAACAACAGCCTGCACTTGTCTCTCTGATGTGCGCTTGCTCTTGCGTCAGCATACGCCCATAACCACGGCAGTCAAAGGACTCCTTCTGCAACGCTCCGCGACTTCTCGGGTCAGAGGTCACCTGTGGCCTCTGGTCTCCACGACGACAGCCTGGCAGTCCCCAAGACATCCCCCCACAGGCACCAACCTCCTTCCCCCTCCCACGCCATCCAAACACAGACGCTCACAGAGAAACAGCTTTTGTCCCCAAACTCCTGGGCATCAAACAGAGAGCCAAACATTTACAACCGTGCAGGCCCCAACAGTAGAAGTGCAGGAGACCACCAAAGCTGCAAAGTGACCAGAGTTAAAGGCTAAAAAGAACAAAAATATATGGGTCCACCAACCCCCCTTCTCTTTAACATACTCACTGACAGGGTGAAAGCACTGCAGACGGCTGGGTAGCCGTAAGGATTAACCCTGATTTAGGAGCTAAAAACTTTGGGAGAGCGACGCTGTGTCACTTTAAAGGCTTTAATCTGCACAGGCAGGCTTATCAAGTCCTTTCACGTCTTAAGTTTTTATTTATTGATTGATTTATTGGATCATCATTGACCACAACGCACCATGCACTGACACAATTTCCAGCTGCAGCTCTGCATGCGCAGCAGTGGAAGCAGATAACGGCAAGATTGGGAAAAACAAACTGGCACTCACCATATTCCGCATGCAGGACATCTCTGGAACCAGCACGGCCACTCTGCTGCAGTTCTGTATCCCGGTGCTTATAAGCAGGGAGGAAAAAAAGATTAAAAAAAAAAAGTAGAAGAAAAAAGGTGGCTCCCCGGGGGTATTTTCCAGTACTTTGGCGATCGACCGGCGTGGGGAGAGTGGAGTTCAGACTGGGACTGTGTGGTTTCCCTCTCAGAGGTTTGAATAGCGGAGAGCAGAATGAGGGAAAACACGAGAGGCAGGGAAACATGCGCCTGTCCTGTCCCCCGGTAACGCTGACACACTTAGCTGAGAGGAGGAGAGGCAGCGACATCTACCGACAGTAGAAGCTCATGCAAGAAAATCAGAAGCAGCGTGGATAATATGATTAATAATAGCAATAAAACAATAAAGTAATAATAAAAATAAATAGAAATCTTTTAGGTGATACCAGAGCTAGACTATTAGCAGGTAAAGAGGGCGAACACTACTGGAGTACTCACTTTTAGTAGTTTTAATCTATACAAATTTGTAAGAGAAAAATCAGCTGATTCATACGGAGCCCCTCTG